TGACTTTGCTCTCAGGGGCTCAAATGCTTCCGAATTGATAAAAATTTATCTGAAAATTTTAGCTCTTAATATTAAGTGGGTATTCTACTGTAGAAGCATGAATTTCGCCCGGTTTTTGAAGCGCTGTATAAAGGAAACAAATAATATTTTTACTATCCATTTTTTTATCATTTGTTTATTGATATAAGTTAAAAAAATAATTTTTGTTTGAATGACGGCAGTTTGAAAAAAAAATTTTTTTTTCATTTTTTTTTTAACAATTCCGAATTTTTTAAAAATATTAAATGAAAAGTTATAGTTTTGGGCAAGGTCCATGCGATAAAGCGATGTATAGAGAAGATCCTCTCCAAATTTGAAGTAAATCGGTTCATTAGAACTCGAGATATCCTTACTGCCAGCTCGAAAAAAGTAGTTCCGAGAAAAACGCGTTCAAAGTTTTGATTCTCGGTCGGACCTGAACCGAGGCCACGTCACTAAAACAGATATAACTCAGGAAATAATAGTAATTTTGAAAAATCCTTTTAATGACATATTTTTGAATAACTAAACCTTGAAAGTATGAAAAAAAAATTTTCGATTTTTTCAAAATTCTACAGTAGAATACCCCCTTAACTTTAACATAGTCCGCACTCCAACCAAAGTTTCGGCTTCTTCCTACGTAAATACACTTATTTTATAAAATATATCAATTTTTTGTTTTAAGTAATTTTTTTTCTATAAAACAAATGGAATTTTACTCATGTTATTTCCATAAGAAACTTTTGGTTGGAGTGCGGACTATCTTAAAGTTAATATAATTTTGGGAGCTTTTGAGCCCATGGTAGCAAAAAAATTTAAATATATCCATTATAAGGACCACCCTAAAATGTGTATAATCTTGTGTATATGTGTGCAAACGTTCGTACAAATACTTAAAACGTATATTACTTTTGACGAGCTAAAATGAAAGTAACCATCTGAGAATAGATAAATGTATTTATAGTACTCCACAAATACTCCGTATTCTAGGAACATATATTTCAACGTATAACTCAACAAACAGCAATTCAGCAAATTGGAATTTATAAATCTATAGAGAATATTTCCAATTTAATAATAGTGGTTTTCATATATTTAGTAGTAGATTTAATAATATATTTAGGAACACGGTTACTAAATACCATGTACACTTGTATAATATCAACATTTGAATGCAATTGAACATTTTGCTATCGAGAATTTTGTTAACTGCCATTTTTTTAATATATAGTAAATTTGACACCTGTTCTGAAATGGACAACAAGTAAATCTTCTGACAAAGACTTTGAAAATTGACGTTTGTTAATGTAACATAAATTTATTTTTCAATGTTGCCCTGGCAGTGTTGTGGCGTAGTTCTCTGGCAAGTGAATTTGGAAGATCCTTGTGGTGGCTTTTGTAATTTCTGAATGTGTTCGTATATCATCCTTTATTGTGCCCATGTCTTCTTTTTTATATATTTACAATTAGGGTATTTAACTGACATAATTTATAAAAAAAACTTGATTAAATTTTCTAGTATATAATTATACTGAATTTAAAGCCCAAATATTTACAGTGAGCAATAACCACTTTCATTAGTAGTCAGTCACCACAGGCTGTCATTGAATTGAATACTTAAAATAACCTCTTTAAATAAGATTAATTTAAATAATTTCAATTGTCATTTGCTATTAACAATTTGGGTATTTAACTGACATATTTTATAAAAAAAAACTTGATTAAATTTTCTAGTATATAATTATACTGAATTTAAAGCCCAAATATTTACAGTGAGCAATAACCACTTTCATTAGTAGTCAGTCACCACAGGCTGTCATTGAATTGAATATTTAAAATAACCTTTAAATAGGATTAATTTAAGTAATTTCAATTGTTATTTGCTATTAATTACTTTTTGACGTCTTACAAATTCATGCACAAAATTTATTTTATAAATACCTATATTTGTATTATACAAGCATGCGAATTATTCAAGTGTGAAGTAGACGCATGCGTAGAAATTCATACATATGTAGAGAACATATGCATGTATCCGATTATATGAATATATGCGTGTAGTTTGTCTATTGTGATTAATAAGGCAACGCTCAGTTCTTGTAGATTAATTTCAGATGCATTGTTTTATATATTTTGGTATTGTTGATTATTTGATTTGACTGTACATTGTTTATAAATACATATTCCATTGAGAAAGGTATATAGAATGTGGTATTTTTTCATGTAACTTTTGCAAAAATCAATGTTTCGAAATAATGTGCTATCCAAAATCTCGTATGTATTCGACTCTCCTAGAAAGCACCTATGGATGATATTTAGGCTTGTTTTCCCAAAGATATAATCACCAGTAAAAAGTGTAAACAAACGCACAATATTTTAATAATAGAAACTTATAATTTGTATGAATAAGCAAAATTAATTTGTTATTGGTCTTTATTATGATCTGCATTGTTTAAATATTTTTATGCGAAAACAAAACAAACTAGTGGTGTATGGCATCGTGCTTTACGGCAAATTACTGGAACTGCTCGTACTGTATGGAAGAATATCAAATGTTTTCAAATACATTATTATAAGTGATATTTTAAGTATATAAGTAAACTTTAGAATTTTAGCTAGAATTAAAATTTAAATCCGAATTATTTTCGATATTCAAAAAAAATATTTTTTTAAAATTAAAAAAAATATATTCGCTTTCCCTAAAAACAATCGTTTCGTCAGTACAACCTGCTACATTCTCTCAAATTTTTTGCACATTTATCTCCGTATCTCTGAAACGACTGACCTGTCAAAACTATTCATCATTTTTCCCCATCATTAAGAATTGAATGTTTTTTGAATCATTCAAATCGGTTGGTCTGTTCCCTCAAAAACTTAATTTATATTTTTTGCACTCTTTGCTCCGTATCTCCGAAACAGCTAACCTTTTGACCAACTAATCAGCACATCTCCCTATAATTAGGAATCAGAAATTTTTGAATCATTCAAATCGGTTGATCCGTGCGCCCGAAAACGTGACAAAAAATTGTACCACACATATACAGGCACACACATCCATTTTTTTCTAAGGTATGCCAAAATGTTCAGAAACCTCCAAAACGTGAAGATATACAAAAATTTCAATTTCGATTTTTGGACGATTGCAATAACTTACCCTACGGCAAGTTAACCTTTTCTACTCGAATGCCTCCGCTCCAGCGGCAAAATACATATAAATTCCGGAGTTCGCGAGTGGAAAGGGTTAACAAAATGCAAGTGTTTTATTTAACGTTTTAAGTTTGCAATTTTCCGATCTCATTTTCAATGACATAATATCATTATCACTAACTATTAACTAGCCAGTTATATTATTAACCAAATGATTTTTTTTGTCCAATATGAAACCGCATAATCGCACATACATGCATATTTTGTTTGAGAAACAACTTCAGCGGACAAAAACATCGTATCACGGCTCACTTCTACAGCGATCGAATAAAACATGCGAAATACATATATAATTTTACACTCGATATATATACATCAATATCATACAATACTTATGCAAGTATGTATAGATATATATAGAGATAACACTGCGTTTCGTCCTCGATATTCACAGAGCGCGCAAAGACAGAAAACAAGCGGCAGCGTGAGCAGGCGTCATGTTGCGCGCGAAAACAGCTGAGCGCTGTGCCGCGTTGCCAGATCGGACGACGTGTGTATCACTATACTTGATGCGCAAACCCCTCGAGCCAAAATACACAGACATTCTGAAAATGTTCGATTGTAATAAAATCATAAAATCTAAGAATTTTTTTAAAATTAATCAAATAACATTTTTTAAAATTCCACTTTTCAATAATTTTTTTGAGCCGAAATTCAGTAAAAAAATGTTAACATTTATTTATTATTATTTATTATTTACTAGCATTCATTATAACAACTAAATATTTATTATAACAACTAATATTAATAATACCTGATTATATATTAATTCTTGGTATTAAGGTATCTGATTGTATTATAATAAATTGATATAATAAGTCATTGTGATAAATGATTTCATATAATTAAGCTAGAAATTTCAAGCATTCTATCAATCGATTTTTTTTCAGAAAATTTATTAAAATTAATTTAGGCATTTTCAGGATTATCTCCTTCAAAAATCTCGATTTATGCGATAAGTTTCATTTGCATAAAGTTTGAATTTTGCAAGCTTTTAACAGAAGCTGCAAATAGTTTAAATACGGAGCAAAGAGTGCAGAAAATAGAAATCGACTTTTTGAGAGAACTGAGTATCCGATTTGAATGATCTAAAAAACATTTAATTAGTAATGATTGGGAGAAGTGTTTATTAGTTTTTGGCAAAGGCAGGCCCATCCATTTCGAAGATACGGAGCTAAATATGTAAAAAATGGCAGTTTTTGAGAGAACTAAGCGTCCGATTTAAATGATTCAAAGAACTTTCTGCTTGTCTTAACAAAATAATTGATTTTGGAAAAAAAAATTTTGTTTCAATTTTTTTTTTTTAATTTTTTGTATAACGAAAATAATTCAGATTTTATTTTAAATTTTGACTATAGTTCTAATATACTTTAAACAAATAATTTCAACTTTGCAATTCAGTTTATATAATTCTTATAAATATTAGACAATGTTACAATATTTATAATAATCTATTTGAAAACATTCAGTATTCCTCGAACATTTCGTTACGGTACGGGAAGTTCCAGCAATTTGCCTTAAGGCACGGTGCCACCCATCCCATTAGTTTTTTCATTTATTTTATAAATTAGCTTTTTATATTAACAATGTTAATTATTAATGAATGCAAAATATGATATTTCAATTGCATTATTATATCAATTTGCCGAATACGAATGTTTTATGTCTGAAAATATAATTCATCTGTCAATTTTTGACATTGGTATAAAAAAACGCTTGCTCACCTGATGACATCGTTACCGGCGTTTGAGAAGCCGCAATTCATATATATCACACAGACGCAAATTGAACGCGTCGATGTGTTAGTAGAGTGTAGAGTCAGTCTTGTTGTACATACAGTATTCACGAAATGTGCTCAGGAACCCTATGTGCTGAAACCGTGTAATAATATAATACAACACAGACTTGCGCCTCGACCAGAGTAATAATAGAACTTGTGAACTCTTGTGTGTATCGCTTATACTTTACTTCGTCGAGTGTCGTAACATGGGACTGACTGTACACATTCCGCATGAAATCTGGATGTCTGCGATGTTTTCTTCTTCTTCGTACCTTATTACCACTTCACATTCACGGTTGTCTAGTGCACATGCATCTATCGCTCAAAATCTGACCATTGGAGATTTTATATTCAGTTAAAAAGTGCTGTGTTAGTGCGCTCGATCGGTGAACCTTTTTCTGTGAATGTCCGTCGTTGATAGCAACAATGTCGGTTGTGTCTGTGCAGTGCTAAGTGTCGTTTTGCGATTACAAAATCCATCTTTAACAATTTGTATACAAACTGATAAATGTCTATTGTGCCGTGCCGTGTTCGGTATGCTACATCTTCAAGAGTTTCTACTGACATAGGGCGTGGTGATGTTATGACGATTCGTTCGTTGCAGGTATGCTTCAAAAATGCACAAATCGCCAATATTTTCCACCAATTTTTTCTGATTCTAACCTATATGGTTAGATGTGTCAAAGTTCTGCACGTCAACATTTCCCAACCTAGTCTTCATGAAATGTCAGACAGAGTTTTACACACTAAGTTATAACTTAATCATAAACGTAAAAGTCGTAATAATCATATTAAATCGTTTAATCTATCATTAATATGATTTAAACATAATCGCATAATATTACTACCTAAACATGAACGCGATCAGCCGGTGAGAATCCGACATATATAGAACCGGAAATGCTTATTAAATGATAATTGATCCTGATTATTTTTTCTATATTGCGTGCGTAGCTATTGGATCTATACTTACGCGTTATATTATCGAGAAATTTGACAACGTTGCTTGATATTTTATATAGTCATGATCATCATCATTGTTCAGTGATACGTTTTGTCCTGTCTTTATATCGTATGTACATTCCTTGATAAATATACATTCGTTTACACTTCGGTTTGCATCTTCTATGTATGTATACACGACATATTCTTCTTACACGAAGACGATCAAATGTTTCAGCTTCTATTGTTTTATCTTCTGAAATTAAACCTATCATAACGTTATCATGTATCTGATATTGTTAGTTAAAAAATATTGTTCATCGGAATTATAATATAAATTTTTCGTTATAAAATGTGATTCGTTTGTTGTTCAACAATTTTGTTTTTATGATGGCCAAGGCGTAATCAATGTATTTCATTGAAGCTAATATTGTGTAGTCTATTTATACGGCTCGAACTAACAAATCAGCCGTTGAAACCGAAGTCCAGTTATGACATAATACAGCATTTTATTACACATTACACAGAATGATTTTTAAGTAGTTATTCAGATTTTTCACACTGCTAGAGCTTTAAAATCAATTACTATGTTTGTTATTCATAATTATTTGAAATCAATTTCGTAATTATACATAAAAAAAGAAAGAACAATATAGTTTACCTAACATAATTAAGCTTAAAGTTTGAAGAACTTGCGTAGAAAATAATTTATTCAACCGTTTTTCTAGTCTCCTATGTTCTTGCTTTCATATCTATATTTTTTTTAAATATAGATATTGATTTATATGCTTGAGCTATTACTTTTACAAAAAGTAAATGTATAATCTATATACTTCCTCGAATCATTGAAGTCATCATTTAAGTCACCATTTAGCTGTTCTGTCAAAGCTCTTGTTCTTGTGCGAAAACTGTCTAGGCTTTTTTACTCGTTTAGTGGTATATAAATAAATTGTATATATATATATCAGTATATATGTCTATATAAATTGTATATATACGTGTGCGTGTGTATATATGTGTGTGGTCGGTTTGAACTAGTTTTGTCAGATCCGCATATTTCGGAATAGGTTAGAACAGGCTTGCAAAACGTACCCGAAATTCTGCTCAGCTCTATATCAGGGTGAGAGAATGATATCCATCCAGCCCCGGTGAGGCGCAATAGCCTTGCAATGCCATGCCATGCTTCGGTTTGCACTCATATAGTGGCGGAGAAATGAACGCCAGAGAGCGCGGATGCCAAGTCGCTAACTTGCTAATGTCGGGGAATATCAATACAACATCGCCCATGCTCAACTATTCACCGCAAAACTCCACATACTGGCCGTTCATCGTATGCAAAAGCAGTGGTTTGCAAAAGACATTTCAAAATTCGTACATCCACTACAAAGAAACTCTAAGACATGATTCGATGCCTCACGGATGAAAATTGATCATGGTTATGAAATTATGTAGTTGGTTTGAAGACAGTAAAAGGCTTGCTGGATTCGTCAGTTCTTGAAACTAATTCTAACATTCATAATATATTATCTTTCTCATCAAAGATCTCGCAAGTATTATTTGGAATATCCAGCATTAATTTTCTCCCTCTTTTTTATTCATTATGTTTTTAACGAATTTTAACGATTTTATTTACCCATACATGTTCTTTTCTGATAGTCGACCATATGTCGTTTGAGTCGTTTGAGGCTTCAAAATATATTCTAAATCGGTGGTTACATAGTTTACTCGTATAACGAACAATAATTTCAAACTCGTACTGAATCAACATTTTATTTTGCTAATTAACATTTTTTATGCATATTTATTGAAGATGTGAACGTCGACTTGACATCCTTGAGTGAGTTGATTTCACAATATTTTTTCTAAAAATCGCGATACTGTAGTTAGCTTGGTCAAGATATGTTCGAAGAAAAAACGCAAACAAACAAAGCTTGAAAAATGGTTTTACATATTGCTAATTTATTCGTTCAAATTATATATTCTACATTGCATAATAGTTGAATCAGTTCTAACGCATAGGCATATTATACTTTTTTTTAAATGAGAATTATATTAAATTTTTTTGAGCAAATTTTTAAATATAGCGTTTTTATACCAGTATTGCAGATGATGTCTCACGGTGTTATATTGTTGAACATTATAATCGAATGCGTTGTGAAGTTCTGATTTCTCATGGTAACACCGTCTGTCACTGAGTTAAAATCAATAACGGGCACCACCCGGCCACCCAAAACACAACGCCCACCCTTTCTATCCCGGACAACTCCCTGCTCTTTTCACCATTGCGATTCCCACCCTAATAGGGGGTTGTAATACACCCTCAGCCAGCGTCCCATCCCGGACGGCCAACTAAAGTAAGTAACCCACGACGACGGATAGATCCTACAATACTCTACATCTCTAGCTTTTACCTCTGATAAGCGACACGGCTCGTCTCGTTCGCCATATTCGTAGCACATTTGAAAAGTTTGCTAAAAGTATCTGCTTTCACGCGACCGCCGTGGTATTGCTTTTGCAAATTGCAAGAGCAAGGAGTAAATTATATCGAATTTACTCCACAATGGCCGACTGATGTAACTTTTGAATGAAAATTATCCAATCTACTATTAAGATGTCATATTATGTTTTAATCTTATAAGAATGTGTTGATCCAGTGCGGAGAGTCATTTAATCCACTAAGAAATTTTGAACTTAAAGCCCAAGAGGATATTGTTTCTAGCAAATTATACACAAAAATACGATCGATTTGTTTTGTACACTTTACATTTAATTGTTCGATATATTATTAGTCGGACTATCGATTATTATGGTTCATTTCTCACGGCCTTTTTCTTAAAATTTTACTCTAAATTCGGCAATTACTCTAAAGCCTCAATTTTCGATTAAATATGTATTATCGATCTAATGCATAATAATAAATTTATATATTTTGGAGATTTTCTTACCACATCAAAAATGTATATGTCAATTTTTCACTAGCATTTAAGGTTCTTGGTAAGTAATATACAACTACATACATATTTGTTTCTACTTATGCAGAAAATTATGCATGACAACCGCATTATAATTGTAGGAAATATGCAGTCACACGAAGTGTGTATATGTATAGAAAGGCGAATTTAGAAAGAAGTTCTAGCCGTCCAATAGAAAAAGTCTTGAACTGCGAATGTTACTGCAGCGGTTATTGACCGGCCTACATTTTCTATAATCATTGGTTTACATTCAGAGTTTGACAACAGTTTTTGGTCTTATTTTTGGCTAATTATTGTCAGAAGATGTTTGTTACGTTTACCCTACCATCAGTGATAATGGTTTATTTTGAAAATATTTAAAGATTTACTTATCTTATTTCTTTTTATATTATCTAGTGTGATATGAAAAATTATTTCTGTACAAAGAGTGCAAAGTAGAGATATGTCACGTATATTATTTTATCATATCGGACATCATTTTTTGCATACTAATCTTTAAAAAAAAATACACACTTTGTTTTCATATAGCTAGTTCATTCATTTTCTGGTTAGAAATGAATTTCTTGCTTTTATATTTGAATTTGGATTATGCTAATCGTTTTTGATTGACCAAACTCTTACAAGAAATTATAGCTATATCTATTAATTATTATTAGGTATATCGTTTCGACGATGTTACCTGTGTTCATGTCCTTCCATATTTGGTACGTTACTGTTGTTGCTAGGCGCCACATCGTATGAGTGATATCATAGTCTCTTTGATTCAATTCTTCCGTTTTCTACTGCGCATATACAACGATTTCATCATTCCGTGCATACAGTTACAAAAAAATCTGACATAGGTCGCTGTGCAAAACTAAAAGTTTGTTAGGCTATTTTACAGATAAATTTTTGCGAGAATAATCAGGATATAAGATGTTGGCGAATTTAAACGTACAAAACGAACGACATGCTAAGTGATCGGGTAAAATATAAGCTTTATTAAACTCATCAAACCTATTGTTATCGTCGTCGCTTAAAGCAATTACTCCTGATAGATCGAATGTTTATATACAGATTCTGTGTAACGTATAGTGGAATCTGAATATTAAATCTCTTCTTAAGGTATACAGCCAGTTAGAATGACTCCTGTTTAATTACGACAAAAATTCATCCGCCTATACCGTCAAGTATAAATATATCGTTAGGGAGTTACTGACTTATACTTAAAAATTTATTCGCCTATACCGCCAAGAATAAAAATATTGTTGAAAAACTGACTTGTTACTAATCAAATATAATAATAAATGGTAGTCTGGCCGAAGGCAGGTCCATGGTGTGCGAGCCACCACAAATAAATGATTCCCTTACCCTTCGTCTATCATTCCCATTACCACTATTCCCCCTCCACTATTTTTTTTATGCATTTTCTTTTCCAAACCTCTGCCTGATCCTGTGCTTCGGCTTTCATTTCCCTGTATTTTCTCTTCTCGGGTAAGTCGTCAATCGTTTGCATTCTTCTTTTTCTATTCCTTCTATTTTACCTTCGACAACGTCATGCAGGAGGCTCTCTTTTTGCAGAAGAGGTCCGATCCAGTTTCCTTTTCTTCTCAGAATTGTGCTCAGTAGAGTCTTTTCTTCGCCCACTCTTCTTAGATCTTCATTTGTTATCTTGTCCACTTAATCTTCTCCATTCGCCTTCAGCACCACA